AAATTCCTTCTCTCTATAATCCCTGCGTCTTCTCATCATTGTCTCTCGCAGTTTCATCCCTTATCGGCTGCGAAACGTTCGATCATTTTCTCTCTAAAGTGTTCTTTTCTTCATTGATCTTGGATAATAAATTAAATATTCAATGGAAAAAAGAAGATTAAAAGTAAACATTTTAAGTCATATATATCTTTTAATTTATAAAAAAGAAATAAATTGTTGAAAAATGAGCAAAACGATAGTTAAATTAATTTATTTTAATTTACTAAAAACTCTAGTAAACGCTACATTTTCCTTTAAAAATTCTAAGAAATTTATTTTTTGAAAACGAGATTTCATTATTTGAGAGAAACTAACCGGTACGTCTTTCAATAAATTATAATAGATATCAATTTGAAATACTTAGGTTGAGATACTTACTAAAGACTTAATGAGATCGAAAAGATCTTTATGTTGTTAGAAATTGAATCATTGAGAGACAAATTTGCGGTCTCTAATTGAGGTCAAACAGAATAGATTTATATTCTATTGAGAGCAATATCATTTTCTGCAAAGTATTAATTAAGTATAAAATTTCATCTTTTTTCAGAATACGATAATATTTTAGCGCTATTTTTTTCAAAGTTGAAGGAAGCTGTCTGCGATACTTTTGCGAGTTTTTTTCTGTTCATTTGTCGGACGATCTGATACAGCTCGAAATTCTTTACGCTATTCAGATTATTCTCAGTATCCTGAGTATTACATGGTCGCAAGGCCAATTTGCGAGGATTTGCGTAAAACGCGCTTTTGCTATCTGTTGGAAATTCCTAATCCCCGCGTCGCAAGTCTTTAATCCTTTTATTCGGCATCCCAACGCGCAGCCACTTACTACAGAGCACGGTGAAGTACAACTTCACTCACCTTTAATTTAAAATATTCTATTCTTACATTACATTTTGGAGAGCCGTTAAAGTATTTTAAAACACTACTACTAGATAGGTTAAACGAGAGAAATTTAAATTAATAATTCTATCATAAATTATTAATATCGAAGTTATTAAGAATAATCTCAATCATATTAGGTTCTTTTCGATTGCGATTGCCCAAGTTATTGTTTAACTCGAGACACACAAGAAGAATATAATTTGCAGTATCGTTGGTTTTTTTTGCTCGCGTCACCAGAAACCGTCGTGGCAGATACTCTTGAAACTGAGAAAGATGCATTCTCGTGATGCGCCGGCGTGACAAGAAGAGAAGATAAGAGTCTCGGAACCGAAGAGATCCCTGACGTGACGAAGATGAGGAGTGGTAGTGATGGCGGAGTAATGGCGATCGTGCGAACTCACTCAACCTGGGTGTGATGCTTGCCTATTTACCAGGCCCTAGTGGTCATCACAACCTTTTTGAGTGAGCGAGCGCGATCGTCGCACTCGTCGGCAGGGGCCAACGTCGAGAACGAAGATGGATTTCATCGTGAGAATAAGAAAAGTGCCTATTCATCCCCCCGTTTTGTGCCGCTTTTTATAATTTAACAATAATAACATTACGTCTACGTAAAGTACGATGTATTTATATGAAGAATGTCAAATCTAGAAGTATTTGATTATTATTATTATTATTTTATTTGCTTATTTCTTTATATGAAAAATAAACCTGTATTTTTCAGACAATATTCAAATTGGATTGTTAGGAAAATTGGATTCATTTGTGAAAGTCCTTCCCGGCGAGTCTGGGGGGGGGAGGGGGGGCGCTGTTATTGTCATTTAAATTGACGGAGGAGATAAGATCTCGGGGTTGGACGGATCATAGGGTAGACGCGATATTTTTTTCAGTCGTCATGTTTACTCAATGGTGAAAGGCGCGTCTCTCTCTCGTTTGTTCAATCGCTTATCAGTCGCCCTCGTCTCTGCCCTCGTTAGTCGCCCGGCTGATTAATTCCGGCGCCACGGGAAGAGAGATTCAATATTGAAATATTTCTTTCGTATTTAAATTGCGTGGGATTACGGCCGCCCCCGATGACACCAAAGAGCTTCGAGATAGAGGCGGTCACGTCTCGATGCGATGGGATGTGTGTACAAAAGATACGAGGGAAGCACCGTATGTCCGAAGACGTGTACGGATGGAAAGTTCAAATTGCCGTCGCGTTCCTCCCGGTGGTTTTCACGAAATTCGACACCGGCTTTCCGGTGTAGGTGTCGTCGTTTGTATCGACCGTTCTGCGGATTCGTATTATTCGCCGACGACCACGCTGCGTAAGCAGGCGAAATGAACTTTGACGAAAATTGAAGACGCACATGACCCGTTATATATAAATATAGCGATTTCACGCGAGATTAAGGACAACAGATTAAGCACAGATAGCAATTATATGTGAGGATTAATATTTAGATTTAACCGATGTAAAAAGGGAAAAAGAGGAAACGCATGCGAGCTTAGTAATTCCGGCGTTGTATTTCACGTCTTATAAAAGACGCGGAGAAGAATCGAGCGTCTCGGTTATGACGCGAGCCGACAAAAATATATCGCCTCATCTGAAAGTTCGCGATGTGCTCTAAAGGTTAATTGCGATCGCCCGATGAATATTCATCTCGGTCCGAGATAAGATCGTTCTCGTTTTAAATGTCTCTCTGAGACGCAAATATTTCGCGGCGATGAACGCTCAAGTATAAAACTTTACTACTTGCAGAATTTCAATTCTGAGTAGTGGCCGAAATAGTTTTCGAAAGAATCTTTATAGTTATTCTTTCAACGGTGCAATATTATGCGTTTGCATCAATCACGGATGTTTCCTCGGAGTTATCCGGTCGTGAGAACGTGTTCTATTTACATGCCATAAATGATGATAAACGACATAACGTGCATCAACAACGGTGCAGCGCGATGTAATTAGCCTCGTTTTTTAATAGATTAACAATTAGCTTTGTTAATTTTCTTTATAATTACATCAGTTTATTATAATGATTTCGATAACACAATGACAACAATAATCCAGAGTAATAATGAAATTTTGATAATTAAAGCAAATTGAAACTCTTTTTGACGAATAAACTGGCAATTAATTTGTAAATGTGTTTCTTATAATTCCGATAATAATGGCAAATTCCAATTCTTCTTAACGATAAATAAATTAGAAATTAATTTATAAATATTTTTTACGGAACAATTGTTAGGACTTTGCATATCTTCTATATATAGCGAATCTTTAATAGCCTTATAAAGATTTAAATGTCAAGTAGCATTTTCATCGATTGAAAACGAATACTGTTTGTTCATTGGAGGACCGATTGAATATTGTTGATATGCCAGTTACGGGGATCATCTCTCAAAATGAGATATACTCGTCGATCGTCGGTATTTCGTGATTGCTCGCATCGTGACCCGAGAAATCATGGGAATCACATGCTCGCGCATAAATTGACAGAAATGTCCGTTCATTTGGTTGGTTAGCCGCTGATCGGAGTCGAAGGTTCGAGGCCGATCGATCGCGACAACAAGCTCAACAACGGTCGACTTGCGCGATTGGTCGCGTTACGGCTCGTCGGCACGCTCGAAAGACATCTAATTACTTTGATTCGGTAGAGAAAAAACAAGTTTGACGCAAGTCTGACGCTTGAGATGACGGAGATATCGTCGACTTAAACTCCAAGAGCTTTCGACCCGACGATATATTTTTAGATACGGATATAAAAAAGGAAACTAATCAACATGTAGTAATGTAGATTTAATTTCTTGATTAATGCATACATATAAATATAAAATTTGTTATATTAAAAAACGAGAAAGAAGAATATCTTGTTGAGATTCATCCGAATATTTACATACGCATGAAGATTGACTTAATTGCGACACAAATCTTGGAGAATGGAAGACACGAACTGAAATTCTTTAAATGGAAAATGTGAAATACAATTCGTCTGTCGTAATAATACGATCCCTCGTCCTCCGGAATGTGCAAGGGTCAAGTAACGCCAATTGCACGGGCAGACAAACACGTGTTTAAGTGCAGGTGCTTAAATAGCGAAATTAGAAGAACTGCGAAGGAGGATGAGGACAAAGAAGATGAAGATGAAGCGACGCGCGCGTGCACACCAATTATCTTCAGATTTCTCGACAATTTGTCACGTTTATTATCGGACTTTCCACTCGGGCAATCACTTTGCTCTATTTCATCAATGTCGAAAAAAATTTGAAATGATATTTGATTGGCTTGAAAATAACAGCTTAAAATTGGAAGAAAAATGAAGATATACGTACATAAAAATTGATGATATCAAAGATAGTCGAATGTTCGAAAATTATTTTGTAAATTTTTCTTCTCATGCTTTTAATTTTCAACAATAATTATTTATCTTTTTTATTAATGTAATGAATTATCTTCAGTTCAGTTCGGTTATCTTTCAATAGTAGAAAAAAAATTGTTGTCAAATTATTATCAATTTTTACTAAGTTTAAGAGAAGATTTTTATGAGATGCAAAAGGCGCGATCGTGGAAAATCAACTCGCGGTAAACGCGCGAGTTTGTCGCAATTTTGAGAAGAGCGATTTCTTTCTTGAAAAAAATGTAACAGTAGCGGGCATTTATCCGTCGCACAAAGCTGCGTCTGAGAGAAACGTCGGCCGCATTCAACGATGGAATTAGAGGAACGCAAAGGAGACGAGATAAAAAGAGATATATAGAGGAAAAGAGAGCGAGAGAGAGAGAGAGAGAGAGAGAGAAAGAGAAGAAAAAGAGAGCAGCCAGAGACGACAAGAGAGATACGCCAAGTGGAGTCAAGTGGCATAGGCTCCGACGAGACGCCTCGCCTCTCCTCAACTTGTGCATCTGCTCGCGGTGCATCTTTCCTGTTGTCTGATCTCGTGTTCTCTCTTTGCACCGTTCGTATGTTTCGTCGTTCCAAAAACGCGCGACGAATGCCAGAAGCCGAGTTCTGTCGCGCTGCATCTGTGGCGTATCGTTCGCGTTGACTATTATACCATAAAAATCTCTTGTTACGTCGGATATCGCAAAAATTACTCGAAAAATTATGTTGTCTTAATATTATTAGTTTAATAAGGTTTATAACGATCACATTTGAATACATAAACCTTCATTATTTTTTCACATACTATGCTTTTCTGCAATACCGTACAATTTACATGAAAAAAGAAATTCTGGTTAAAAATAGACAAATCAGATATATTTCGATTGAAATGACTGATAGATTTTTGTTTAAATTAACTAGAAGTTTATTGAATTTACGAGAAATTGCGTTACTTTAAATTCTAATAACTTTAATGAATTTCTAATTTCTAATTTGTCTATTTTAAAACAGAATTTTGATACAATCAACCAAATAATTTTTCCCGTATACATGTATTAGCAGTATTACATTCGTGCAATGTTGCTAGACAATTTAGTTTATGGGTGTTATAATTTCTCTGTCTGGCTCTGTACCTGTTTCATTTAAATGCAGAGAATGTAGAAAACGCATCTAAGAGAAAACCTTTTGTATGCATCTCAGATCTTCTTATGTGCTTTTTTTTTTAATCCTCAAGCGCATGTAGCTGAAAATAATGACGTATAAATTAGTTTCTTTTTTAATTTTATTTTAACTTCTTGTAATATGACAAATCTTTAAATGAAATTCACGATATTTTTTTCTTTTCTATTGTAGCTTTTAGAGTATTTTGTATTTATTTTTAATATTTGACTTTAAAATATTAAAATATTGAAATCACTTAATTAATGTAACTTTTCGTTATATTATTTTTAACCTGCAATGATCTTTCTCTTCAACAGTTTTTGATTTTTATTTTTGAATTATGTTAATAATCTTTTATTGCAATAAAAGACATTTTTTTAATTTTATATAGATTGAAATTATATAAATTATTATTTAAAATTTCAGATAAAATTATTTAAACCTACTAAAAAATCTAAATAATCTTATTATATTTTTTTTAAGTACAAAATATAATTTATTTTCTAATTATTTTTAACATTATTGTGTCTGTTCATCCGTTGCATTTTCTTACTTTCATCATGTTTCTCAGTTTCACGTTTTCAGAGAAGATTTTTATCTCTGAAAGCAATAAAAAATTTCCACATTTTCTTTCTGTTCTTGTTCGCGTTTCTAGTAAATCTTGTTGCCTTCACCTTTTTCGTGTAAATCTTATAAAACAGCCATGGCCTCTTTGCCCGCCAGTCGTACGTGTAATGAAATGCACCATCACATTATGGATGTCGTATGGTGCATTTGATGATAAACAACACATTGTAACGTCTGCATCGTTTCAAATTCCCAAAGGCAATCCTGTTTTTTGAGATCGCACAAGTACTTTCCAATTCAATGAGTCCATAAATTATGGAAGAATAATTCCGTCGGTTAACGTCAATTATGCTTAAGCAAATCTTAAAAGTCTATCAACAGAATTACAGCAATGCATATTTGCGATCGAACAACGTTTCACATTCGAAAGTAGCGGACATTTCAAAGCTGAATCCATCGATGTTTGCACCCAGTGAATTTTTCTATATATATTCATTTATTTAAATAAATATATATTTATAATTTTAATTCGTAATTGCTACACTATAAATTTAAAGATATATTAATTACTTTATATCGACATGATCATCCGAATACAAATTTAATTTTTAGCTAAAGATAAACGTGTGAGATGTACGTGTGATATATTTACAGTACACAGATGTGTTTACACACAGAGAAGTTCTGCATATGTCGAATTTGGTGGCACAGCGCGGCCCACATCGCCTTCTGATTTTCCGAATTGACATTTCGAGATATCGACATCACGTAGAGTCGCACTGTAATAAAGACAAGTCGCCTGATGCGGCAGCCGGTCGCCGTCCATATGCGTTTGCATTTAATGCATATCTTCCTCGCAAACTCGTCCGTCCTCGGGGAACGTTATGCAATCATGTTCTCTTATTGTGTGCCACATAGTCTCGGGAAAGGTTTAGCGTGCAATTTAGCTAGCTGGAGTTAGCGTCGACGACGATTGGTATTCCGAGCGCGGCGGGAGGCAGGGGGGAACAATTGCCATCAATTTGCAGGCCGTCGTGGACACGCATTCCCCGTCGTTTCACATGCGGGAGGCATCTGCCTCTGCGTCTTATAAGAGAGAGAGAGAGAGAGAGAGAAGGACTCGAAGAAAAAGCTTGGGATTTCGCCTCCTCGTATTCCTCGTGCTGTTTACACAATTTAATCGCTGCAATAACGACGAATCGCGCGACATCAAGCGGAAAATTTGCTTTGAATGTAGATAAGAAAAGTACATGTAATATTTTCCTACGCAAAATAAATATTCTAAAAAGTTTTGTAGAGTTTAACAGAAGAAAATAGATAAGAATGAGAATTTTTGTACATTTAAAGCGATTTTGTCAGAAGAATATTTTTGCTGAAACGATCTACAACAGATGAAATGATACGCGTCTCTAATCTATGTTCGTTGAAATTTTCGGAAAAAAAATATTCAATCGGATTTGAAGTTAGATTTTACGTTAGATAAAACACATGTTCATCGTACGTTTGATTTTATTAAGAGAAGAAACGAGATCGAGGTCCATTCGGGACCAAGTCTCCCGAAATTAATTACGCTGTAGTTAATTAATTTCGAAATAGTTGCCGCATGTCCGGCGACAAATTCCGCGCGTAACATTGTCAACGTCGTGCATCGGCGGGTCTGGCAATGTTACGCAACAACGTGCGCGGATGTGGAATAGAGGCGATAATCTAGTCAGGCGTAGCCTGCCAATCGTGGAACGTAGCCCGAACGAACCGATTCGGTTATGCAATTGAAGGCAGGCAGGCGTGCGAGAGCGGAATGCAATTCGTGCGAATGCAACGCACGTCGTATGTGTACGTAAGGCAGCAAGCGTTGCGTTATTACGTGGCCGCGGTGTTGCGCGTGCTACGTGCTCGATGCCGATCTCCTCCGATGCGACGATGCAATGATGCGATCCTCGATCGTGGATGCGCGAACCGCAGACCGCCGTTAATGGAGAGTATCGCGAATGGAGCAGCGGATTTAATTGCCATCGTCAAGAAACTTGCGCGGCTCGGGCAGGGGAAGGGGGGAGAGGGGGGAGGGGGTGGAACGCGGGAGCGTTCTCGTCGAACGCGGAGGGACGTAACATTTTTCCGCGAAAGTTTGTTTTCCCGCGAATCCGCAAAATTCATATCGTCGTGTACGTTAATTATCGACTGACAGTTTTCTAACTACAAACTGTGATAAATTCTGTGATTTCGCAATTTGTTATTTTAGTTTCAGCCCCTCGAATATTTAGATCTCCCCCCCCCCTCCCTTTGAGGCTTCAATTTCGACCTTTACATTTTACTCCTGATAATGATCAGCTACTCCACTTTCAACTCTGAACTTTGAACTTTCTCTTCTCTCTTGGATATTATCTCGTCAAGAGGAATATTTTTTTGTCGCTTATTGATGCACGTAATTATTTTTGCTAAAGATCTTTACGAGAGATCTCGACGTAACAAAATAAATCCATATTTTTTATTTTTAAATAATTAAGCTATATCTACCATCAAACAGCAATACTTTTTTTGATTAAAATAAAACAACTTTTTTAATAATAGGATAAATTTTTGTAACAATTAAAATAACATTATATGAAATATTTTTTTCGTATTAAAACAACATTTTCTGTGTAACAATTTTTTATACATACGCATATATTTTGCGCTTTTTTATCTTTTTTTAAAAGGATAGGTTTTTTTTTTATAATTATATTATTATATTTTCTTCGCGGCAAGTATCTCACGGTGTAATGTTTATTCTGATATTTTCGATATATTCGATATATTCGATTTTCGCGATTTCACATACATAAAGGTATTCTAAATGTTATTCGATCAGACAACAGTAGAAAATGACAGTTTCGAATTTTTTTCTAATCGAAACATCTCCCTGCGCGCACGATTATACTGGGTGTGATCTCACAAATCCGGGATTTTTTTTTTTTTCAAAATGTGATCAAACACGTTCCAAGCGAACGCCGATAGATAGAAGAGCTCGACGATCGAAAGCCGATATGCTTCTTTTGATGTAGCATCACGGAAGTGGGACACGCAAGAAAAACAGTTTAAAAAACAGGATATGATTGACGCGAGTGTAATCAATAAATGAACAAACGCTGCATTTTATTCTGTATGTTTCAACAATCATTTATCATGGAGTATTAATCAATTAATTCAAAGAATATTGAACGTATCTTTGTTGCGTCATTATTCATTTCCTAAGTCCGACGGAATTGTAACAAAAAAGTTGCAAAATGTTTTATGCGAATGCAACATGTAATGGGAGATTATAATGAAATTAATAGAGAGATACAAATTTTACAGTTGGTATAATTTTTTTGCCAATATTATTCGGAGAAGAAATACAGTAATTACAATATCTAATTTAAAATGAACGTTCTGAATAGAGAAGAGAGAAATATTTATAATTTAATTATTAGTGTTATTTATTTTTTAAAATATTTTAAAAAATATTGCTCTCTTCTATCTAGATTTTGATTAATATTTCTAGAGAAGATATAATCTTTTAATATCTCTATTTCAATATCTTAAAAATTAATACGAGAAACTAACGTATTTTATTATCTTTTTAAAAAGCGTGAAACAAAATACAACGTGAGTTGCGGTTTTTTACGGCTACATTTCACTTAAAAATCGCAATATCAAATTACAAAACAAATAAGCGAGATGTTCATTATGTCGCATTATTGAAGGATCACCCTTGGGAGCTCGAATACATTGTCGCGAGAAAGGGTGTTCTCCTCTTTTCTTTCTGAAAAAGTCCTTTGGTCTTCGACGAAATTACGCAATCGTGGCTGGTGGCTGGCGTTTGCTTCCGCTCAAAGTGCATCGCAAAGTGCACGCCAGCGAAGCTCGAGTGCAACCCCTCAAAATGCACTCGAAGCGGCGGCGCAAGATGTTGCACGCCGCCACTATGCAGCATCCCTTTTCTCGTGAGGGAAGCGTCGCTCCCCTCCCGAGGAGGACACTCGTGGTTTCTCTCCCCCTCTAGTGGAAGTCTGAGAGTGCGCCTGGATAAGGGCAAGGGCAACCAAACAACAAAGAAATCAAGGCTGAGAACGAGGGAGCCCTTCGCCAGGGCAGACCAATCTTGATCACGATCTCGCTGTCGGGCATCTGCGTGAAAGCCATTTTTAATCTCTTTCGTATCGTTACATCAAGAGTCGCGGTCAGATTTTAAAACGAATCCTTGCATAGTCTTTATTAATTTAAGAATATTAAAATATATAAATTAAGAGATGCATTTTAAAAGGTATTCTTAGAAAATCGAATTTGATATAGGATCAAGAATGGAGAGTAGTTTAGAATAATTTTATTTTATAACGGTTATGTTTTCTTAAAGTTAATAATTTGTCTCTTTTGGACTATTACTTCTTAATTGTCTAATAACACTTGGATAAATATTAAAATTTTGTTAAATTATGAGGGTACTCCCGCGATTTTTTTAAGTTCAATGAAGCGACCAATATTCAAGTCGTGATTGAAAGAGACGAGGACTGTTTCATCTTCTCGCCGAAAGCCGGTAAACGCATCTCTCCCGCTCATAATTATTTAATCTTTTTCCGCACCCCGTCCACGCCCGTCTTCGTCTTCTTCCGGCCCCGCAATATCCCGAAGGGCGGGAAATGAATTTTGCAGGAAGCGTCACAGTCGTGTTAGATGTCTCTTCATCCCCTAGCGCCTTTGCATCCCCCTATTTCCCAATTCTAGATCGAATCAGGCGGAGTCGTTAGAGAATCACGTGATTCCGCGAGTTGTGCATCCGGCAAATAAAAGGCTCGGCCGAGGGATTTCTCGGGAAATTCGATCGATCGATCGCGAGAGAAGCGGTTTTCCGCATCGTGATCTCTCAACCCCTCGCTGGTCCCTTCATAGAAACGACGGAAAATTATTATTCGGTGCACTCCCGCAGTTAAGTAGAATCTCGTATTTTGAAACTAGTTTGCATTTGAATGAAAGTGCTGGAGAGTTTCGAATTATTATTATGAATTAACGCGACGACAATTAAAGAATATTTTTAAATTTATAATACGTAAAGATTTTTTATGTATTTTTTATTTTAAATTTAAGATCGTAAAATTAAACAGTATAAATGAAATATAATTAAATAGATTTACAGTTAACTGTAAATCATTAGATATTATCATAGATATTATCATTCGTATATATTAATTATTTGAATGGTAGCTTTTATTTTTACATTTAAAGTCATAAAGTTTCATTGAATTATAAATTATTATTTTACATGAAGCTAAATCACATAAATCCAATTAGAAAATTTATTATTATTATTGCCTGCCTCACTTTGTATAAATCTTCCAGATTTTATTTTCGATAATTTCTCGAAAAATATAATTTAATGTTTACTTTTATAGAAGAATCATGTCACACGCGATATAGACTCTTTTTCGATCGCATAGTACATAGTAGTTTCTCGGAAAATATTAGTTTGTTTCATAACATCATTTCAAGCA